TATAAAATTATTTGCCTAAGGCCAGCTCTGGAAATAGGGCCATTGCTTAATACCAGTTGTACACCCTGGTCTTTTAGCAAAGGCAACATTTCTTGTGAAAAGTGGGTTGCAGTTCCTGTATCCCAGAGGCCCTCACCTGACCCACAACCTCAGGATCAAAGATTGGACAATTAGAGGCCAAAAAAAGCAGAAATTTGGAGGGCAAGGGAAGATGGGCCAAATGGTTCTAGGGAAAGAAGAATCTGGCATCCTCAAAAAAAGGTAAGGAAGGATGCCCACACACCCTGAGCTACAGAGGAGGGCTTGTCCCAAAGGAGGTTGGGTGGTGTATTAGTTCATTATTGCATTGCTATAAAGAAATACCTAAGACGGTAATTTATACAGAACAGAGGTTTAATTGGCTCACAGTTCTGCAGGCTGTACAGGAAGCATGATGATGGCACCTGCTTGGCTTCTGGGGAGGCCTCAGGAAACTTACAAACATGGTGAAAGGTGAAGTGGGAGCAGTCACATGGCCAGAGCAAGAGCAAGAGAGGGAGTGGGAAGACGCCACACACTTTTAAACAACCAGATCTTGTGAGAACCCACTCACTATTGTGAGAACAGTACCAAGGGGATGGTACTACACCATTCACGAGAAACTGCCCCCATGATCCAATCAGCTCCCGCCATTGAATCCCGCCATTGGGGGTTGAATTTCAACATGCAATTTGGGTAGGGACATAGAGCCAAACTATATTAGGTGTGCTCGTCTAGGGATGAAGGTACTGAATCTCTCAATAATAATAATACCAACATTTTGGGTCAAACTCTGTACAGATGGTCCCTGACTTCTGGTGGTGTGACAGTGATATGCCCTCAGCCAAAAGCATACTTCAAGGACCCATACAACCATTCTGGTTTTCACTTTTAGTACAGCATTCAATACATTACATGAGCTCTTCAACACTTACTATAAAATAGGCTTTGTGTTAGATGATCTTGCCCAACTGTAGGCTAATGTAAGGGTTCTGAGCACATTTACAGGCTAAGCCGTGATGTTTGGTAGGTTAGGTGTATTAAATGCATCTTCGATTTCCAGTGGGTTTATTATGATGTAACCCCATTGTAAGTCTAGGAGCATCTGTACTATCCCCAACTTATAGATGAGAAAACTGGGGTTTATAGAGTTTAGGCAGTGTATTAGTTTTCTATTTTGACTGTAATTACTTAGTGGGTTAAAACAACACATTAATTATCTTACGTTCTGCATGTTAGAAGTCCAAAAGGAGTCTCACTGGGTTAAATCAATGTGTCAGCGGGGCTGCATTCTCTTCCTCTCTTCCTCTTGGGGTGAATCTATTTCCTTGTCTTTTCCAGCTACCTGCCTTTCTTAGCTCCTGGCTCCTTCTTCCGTCTCAAAGCCAGCAATGGTGAGTTGAGCCTCACATCATATCACTTTGCCTTTCTCTTCTGCCTCCGTCTTCCACTTTTAAGGACTGTCATGATTATGTTGGGCCCTTTAGATAACTCAGAATAATTTCTCTGTCTTAAGGTCAGTTGATTAACAACTTTAAGTCCATCCACAATGCTAATTCCCCCTTACCATATAAGGTAACATTTTCACAAGTTCCAGGGATTAGGACATGGACATCTTTGGGGAAGCCATCATTCTGCCTACCTCAGGCAGGCAGTTTGTTCAGGTTCATACAGCTGGTGGGTACAGGACCTGGGATTTGAACCTGGGAAGCCCCTCACTACTATGCCCCCTCCCCCCCACAAACACTTTGCACCTCTGCGCTAAACTTGATATTCTTATGCCTTGAATGAAGTAGTTTTCTAGACCGTGTTCCTTGAGGGCTGAGGATGTGTCTTATTAAGACTCAACTGCACTCCTTACCTAGCTGGGATGTCATCTGAGCACAGGCACCTTCCATGGGCTCTGATATTTAGTGCCAGGACTTGTCCAGGGTACATGGAACAGTGGTGGACAGAACGCTCCCTTAGTTCACCTCCCCACCTGCCTCTCAGAGTGGTTTACAAGAAGTAGGAGCTGAATCTGTGCATGTGGGACAGAGTGCACAGGAATGAGACTAACAGGTCCCAAAAGAGAGAAGGAGGGAAGCAGAATTAAAAATAAATCAGACCTACAGGGAGCCAGGGTCCTGCATCCAGGAAGAGAAGGAAGGGCTTCCTTGAGGTTCTAAAGACCCTGGGTATGGCCCACATATCAGGGGCAAAAACTTCCTTTAAGAACAAAGAGGATTCTTCATCAGTCACATACAGCCTCGTTCTCAGCCTCCTCCTCTTGACACACAAAATATATCTGTTTACCCTGAACACACTCTCCTGAGGCCCACAGATGAAGGGGCTGAAGTGCAGCAATTCACAGTGAGCTTGCTGCAACTTCACACCCCCTTTGCCCACCATCAAAGTTTCTCAGAAGGCAGGTGAGTGACAGAAATCTTGAAAGTGGTGGACAGCAGTAATTCATAATCCAGGCTTGGAGCCAGACTGCCTGCATTCAAATCCTCGCTCCACTGACTAGCTGTGTGCCCTTGGGTAAGCTGATTAACTTCTTTGGGCCTGTTTCCTTACTGTAGAATGGGAATGATTATAGTACTTAGTTCAAAATGCCATTGTGATTATTAGTTTATTGGGTAAGCACTCCATAAAACTAGCTATTAATATTTTTAAAATTCTTGGGCATTATTCTGTTAAGACAAATTGTCTCTGTCTCTCTCTATATTTTTAAAAAACCTTTTATTTAGAGAAGAGGTGGAGAGTGTTTGGGGGACCTAGAGTCAAAAGGCCTCCCTACTTGAGAAAGGGTTGCCTTTTTTACAGTATTGCATCTTCCTATCTACGAACATGGTCTATCTCTCCATTTACTTAGGCCATTTTTATGTCCATCATTAAAATTTTATAATTTTCTTTGTAAAGATCATACTTCTTCTTTTTTTTAAACAGCACTAATCCTGGATACATTATGGATCTTTACAAATTATAACTGGAATTTCCTTAAATTTACATTTTCTAGTTGGTTATTCTGGTATGCATAGGGATAATATTGATTTTTATATATTGTTCATATCCAAAAGCATTGCTCCTGGGAAGGTTCTATGGTGGAGCAGAAACAACTTCACCAAGGGTATATCCAGTGGGGCAGCTCTAGGCCTCCGAACTACTGGCAGAAGCATTCAGTCTTTTTTTTTTTTTTTTTTGAGACAGAGTCTTGCTCTCACCCAGGATGGAGTGCAGTGGCCCCATCTTGGCTCACTGCAAGCTCTGCCTCCCCGGTTCACACCATTCTCCTGCCTCGGCCTCCCCAGTAGCTGGGACAACAGGCGCCCACCACCACGCCTGGCTAATTTTTTGTATGTTTAGTAGAGATGGGATTTCACCATGTTAGCCAGGACGTTCTCGATCTCCTGACTTCGTGATCCACCCACCTCAGCCTCTCAAAGTGCTGGGATTACAGTCATGAGCCACTGTGCCCGGCCGAAGCATTCAGTCTTATTGACTAATACATGTGCTTCCTGAAACAGGCAGAGACCATTGGCTCTTATGGTCTGGGTTTGGGGTCAGAGAAAATGAGCATAAGGATTTTCAGAGGGAATTGCATTTCATGTTTCATCTAAACAACACTGAGACTCTTGCAAAAAAGTGTGCTTACTCTTCCTAGAGGTTCAAAGAGAAATAAGATCCCAGTTCAAATGAACTTACTGTCTACTCAGGGAGATAGATATATAAGCAGGTAGCTGCTGTATAGATCAGGAGTTGGTAAACTTTTTCTGTAAAAGGCCTGATAGCAAGTATTTTTGTCTTGTGGGCCATGTCATCTCTATCACAACTACTTTGCTATTGTATTTGTAAAGCAACCAAAAGCAATAAGTAAACAAACGTGCATGGCTACTGTATAGAGGGATAAGTAGGGGACAAGAATGGGGTAAATGGTGGACTGGAAAGAAACCTAGTTTTCGAGTGAGACAGATTCTAATTGCAATTTCACCTTCTGCTAAGTGGTGTGACTAGGTGAATCACTTAATTTCTCCAAGTCTGCTGCTCCCCCATCTTTATATGGGATAGTCATATTGGTCTCTATGTTGCTGGGAGTATTAAATGAGATAACTGCTAACATTCTGTTGAGCACTTGAAAGGTTCCAGGCACCATGCTAATTCCTTCACTGTATTCATTTAATCTTCGCAATAATCCTGTGAGGTAGGTACAATTATTATCCTCATTTTACAGATGTGGGCCCTTGAGGTTTCGTGATGGACCCAAAGTCATTAAGTCGCAAAATTAGGAAGTTACTTGACCCAGAAGCCACAGTGTTAGCTCTGTGCTGTGCTTCTTCCTCAGGGCCCATAGAAAGTGTCCATCTCAGAGGCTGGCACACGTGAGCTGGCCAAAAAACATCACAGTAGTTCCCCCATCTGTGGTTTCTCTTTCTGAGGTTTCAGTTACCCAAGGTCAACCACAGTCTGAAAACATTTAATGGAAAATTCCAGAAATAAACAATTCATCAGTTGTAAATTAGGCACCGTCCCGGGTAGTGTGATGAAATCTCACGCCATCCTGCTGCTTCCTGCCTGGGACATGAATCACTCCTCTGTGTGTACTACCTGCCCTGTTAGTCAGTTAGTAGCTGGCTCGATCATCAAATTGACTGTCAGGTGGCATTATGGCAGTGCTTGTGTTCAAGGAACCCTTCTTTTACTTAATAATGCCCCCGTATTGCAAGACTAATGATGCTGGCAATTCAAATATGCTGAAGAGAAACCACAAGTGCTACTTTTAAGTGAAAAGGCGAAGGTTCTCAACTTAGTTAAGAAAGAAAAAAAATGTATGCTGAGATTGCTAAGATCTGTGGTAAGAACAAATTTTATATCTGAGAAATCGTGAAGAAGGAAAAATAAATTTGTGCTAGCTTTGCTGTTGCACCTTGAACTGCAAAAGTTATGGCTACAGTGAAAAATGCTTAGTTAAGATGGAAAAGTTCTAAAACGTGGGTGGAAGATGTGAACAGAAATGTGGTCGGCGATTGGGTTCAGTACTATGCTTGGTTTCAGACATCCACTGGGGGTCTTGGCACCTCCCGTGGATAAGGGAGGTAGCTGTTGTTTGCTGGAGCAGTAGCTGAGTGGCACAGACGATTTCTGTGTACTGTATCTCCATGCCTAGCTCATTGCTCTGCGCATAGGTAGCACTCACTAATATTTATTAGTTGAGTGGTGAATTCTTTCCATGTCCTGCCCCGCCCCACCCCAGCACTGAATTGCAAACCTGGTACTATGATAACTTTTTCTCTGAGGCAGGGGGTTAGGGATGGCTCAAAACAAGGCATTACTGGAAGCTTACTTAGCAGGAGGGGTAAGAAACAGTTTTCCAGGTAGAAAAGGGGAGGCAGGGCATTTCTGTCCAAAGGAAAAGCTCTTTGCAAAGGTGTACTTTTCTATGCCACCTGGACTTTGTTCCAAACCCTTACTCCTCCTTCTTCTGGCAGCTTGCTGTCATGGACAGTGCTCTGATGCCAGACGCTGGCTGGTCTTGATTGCTTTTGGCTTCTGGATCTGGTTCCTTGGTTTGTTTGTTCTTTGCTTATTTATTCCCTATGTGTTAGGCACTGCACTAGGTACTGGACACTCCTCCTGAAACTCCCACTTAAACAGAGGCCAGTATGGAAGAACACATTGCGTGCTGAATGTTAGGAAGGAGCAGTCAAGATGACCAGGTGTGTGGGCATTGACAGGTACCTTGTCAGGAAAGGCTCTAGGAAGACAGGGTACCTTCGGTGATTTGTCAAGGAATTAATTTGACAAAGGAGATGGAGATGGGGATACAAGGTAGGGAAGGGTGGGGGTAGAATGAGAGGCACAGGATGGAGGTGGAGAGAGTTGTTGCAGGCAGAGGCAGCAGCAAGTGCAAAGGCCCTGAGGTGGGGAGGAACAGGTTTGTCCTAGGAGCTTCCAGAAGGTCACTGTGGCCTTCCCTAAAGAGTGAGGGGAGAGTGTCTGCAATGAGCCTGGAAGGCAGGCAGGGGCCAGGTTTATGGGCCTCACAGACCTTTGCAAGGAATTTGGATGTTATCCCAATGACACAGGGAAACAGATGGGCGTGGAGGCAGGAAGCCACAGTGAGTTCTCTGACTTCAAATCAGAACATGAGTTTACTCCCACGATCCAGCAAGTGTCATACAGTCAAGTTACCCTCCCCCAAAACCTGTAAGCTCACCTGAGAGCAAACAAGTTCCTGCATCAGGACTTCTTCAATTGATTACAATTGACAACTTATCTTTTGTGAGATTCAGTTTTCAGGTGGTTGAAATCTCTCTCTCTCTCTCTCTCTCTCTCTCTCTCTCTCTCTCTCTCATTACATGTGGGCCCTGCTTTTCCTCCATCCAGGTCATGTCAATATGTATCTTATCTTCTC